TAAAAATGCACAAACTCTTTGACCCAGCGATTCTAATTTGTAAATATTTATCCTACAAACATATTTGCATGTGTATACACAGATTTATAATCTAGGAAATTCACTGCAACATTGTTTCTAATAGCACAAGATTGGAAACAACCTCACTGTTCATCACTAGGGGATTGGATAGATAAATCATGCTTCATCCGTATCATGGGATATTGTACAACCATTAAAAAGCCCATGTGGAACCATTGCCAAGGTAGGTTGTAAGGTGGAAAAAGCAAGGTCCAGAACCATGTATATAACATGCTAACATCCCTGTATTTAAACACACACACACTGGAGCCAGCCCCGTAGCTGAGTGGTTAAGTTCTCGCGCTCTGCTTCGGCAGCCCAGGGTTTTGCTGGTCAGCAGCCCAGGGTTTTGCTGGTTCGAATCCTGGGTGCGGACATGGCACTGCCCATCAGGCCATGTTGAGGCGGCGTCCCACATGCCACAGCTAGAAGGACCCACAACTAAAATATACAACTATGTACTGGGGGGCTTTGGGGAGAAAAAGGAAAAATAAAATCTTTAAAAAAAATTTAAAAAAATAAACACACACACACATGTGCTCACACTCACATGCGTATATGCACAGAGTGTAACTTCCTAATGGTGATTGTTTCCAGGGAGAACTGGGAGATGCTGCGTGGGTGGGAACAGAATGTAATTCTCTATATATACTCTTTTGAACTTTTAAAATTTCATATCATGTCCCCTTACTACTTATTTCAAAAAAATTTTTTTTAAGATTGTCAAGGTTGTTTGGGGTGAGCACTTAGATAGAATATCTCAAATTGAAAGTGTGTATTCATCTCCCTGGTGCTAGCAGTTCCATTTTTAAGGACTTCCCACCCTCCTTGAAATACCTCAAGTGTGCCAAGCTGTTCATAGAGCCATACTTGGAGAATCATTATCTGTAACAGCAGATTGTTAGAAGCAACTTAGAGGTCCCTCAGTAGGCAAGTGTTTGGGGTAATTGTGGCGTATCCATGTGCTGAAATGCTCTTCAGTTCGCAGCAAAAATGAGATAGGTCTATGAGAGCTGGTGAGAAGCAAGGCCTGTAGCATGTGCTTCAGTGAAACAAACACCCACTTTCATAAAAAGTATTATTATTTTCTTAGTTATGCATGTCTGTTTCTTTAAAGGATTGTATGGTGCAATATTTCTCCAACTAAACTCCAATGGCCACCTCCATCAGAATCCTCTTGGACATACAGATTCCTAGGCTCCACTCTAGAACTACTGGATCAGAATCTTTGGGGACAGAGCCCTGAAACCTGGGTTGGTCACAAGCTCTCGTGGCTCAGATGCCTGGGGTTTGGGTGACATGTGGGCCTGGGAGGGCAGCGGACCCCACCCACTTCCAGGGTCCCTGAGTTCCAGGGCTCCTGAGTTCCTTCCTCCTGACCCTGGACCAGGACTCCATCATCCCCTGCCCCAAGCTGCTTCCTCACCGAGGTGCCGGGATGCTTCTGGAACTGTCCCTGTTCCTCTAGGCAGCTAATCACATAGCCAGCACTTGCCAGAGACTAGGAGTGCGGTCAGTCCTGCCCTGAACCAGGAGGGCCCAGCCTCTCTTACCTTCTGAAATGGGACATCCCTGCCTCACACTCTGAATCCCAGGGTGAAGGGTGAAGAGTTGGGGACAGAGGCCTTGTCCTTGCTGTCAGTTTCCCCCATCCCCACCCAGCGAGGGACGGAAAGGGAAACTCCAGGACAGGGTTGGCCAGGGACCCTGAGAGGGATGCACACCTGAGGGGAGCCAGGCAGCCAGGCTGTGTGGGGTTTGGGTCATAATTCAGGGCCTTGGAGACCAAGGAAGCTGGGGGGCTGGAGTAACTCAGGAGCAAGAGTGTGTGTGAGACTGTCCGTGGCCAGAGGTCCGCTCTCTCCTCATCGTGCGAACCACCGGGGGACGCTAGGTATAGATGCTGATGCGTGGGGATCTGAAGGCCAAGAGGGGGCCTAGACATCTGAATGTATAACAAGCACCCCTCTGCGCCACGCCCCCGCCCCCGCTATTGTTATGCTGGGGCGCAAAGGGGAAAGTGGCCTGCAACTAACCTGGGGTGTGAGGAGGTTTTTCTGAGCCTTCAGGACAGGGCCTGGGTACCCCCTTTAGGAACACCGCCCCCAGGTCTCATGTTTCTCTATTGCCCCCCAGCCCTACCCCGCAGGCTGCCACCATCAGCCATGCCCTGAGGTCAGCCCAGTTCGGCTTTGGCTTCCACGTTAAATCACAGCAATATTAATAGGAGCCAGAATTTCCTGAGTCCTCCGCATGCCTGGTGTGGGCAAGTGGGTGCTGTGCTGCAGTTGGGGGATCCCATTCTTTCAACAGCTTTATTGAGATAGAATTCACATGCCATACAACTCACCCATGTAATGTGCACAATACTAAAAATTCAATGGTTTTCAGTATATTTAGAGTTGTGTGTCCATCAGCACAATCAATTTAGAACATTTTCATCACCCCAAAAGGAACCTGTACCCATTAGCAGTCAGCCCCGCCTCCTCTCCCCCAGCCCTGGCAGCCCCCCATCTACTTTCCGTCTGCATACATTTTCCTATTCTGGACGTTTCATATAAATGCAATCATACAGTGTGTGACCTTTTGCGACTGGCTGCGTTCACTTAGAATAATGTTTCCCGGGTTCATCCATGGTGTAGCATGTGTCAGCACTTCATTCCTTTGTATTGCCAAATAATATTCCACTGCCTGGGCACACCACATTTTATTCATCCGTTCATCAGTTGATGGTCATTTGGGGTGTCTCCACTTTGGGGCTATTATAAATAATGCTGCTGTGAGTATTCATGAACAAGTTTTTGTGTGGACATATGGTTTCATTTCTCTTGGGTATATACCTAGGAATGGAATTGCTGGGTCATATGGTAATTCTATGTTTAACATTCTGAGAAACTGCCAGACTGTTTTCCCAAGTGGCTGCATCATTTTATAATCCCACCGGCCAGTGTATGAGGGTTGCAATTTCTCCACATCTTTGCCAACACTTGTTATTCTCTGTCTTTTGGATTCTCGCCATCTCAGTGTGGAATCTCGTTATGATTTTGATTTGCATTTCCCTGGGAGCATTTCCATTTTACAGAAAAGGAAACTGAGGCTCAGAGGTGAAGAGCCTTGTCCAAGGTCCTGATGCAAGGATGAGCAGAGGCAGGGTTCTAAGCCAGGCACCATCCTCTCCCCTGGGCTGCATTCCCAATGGAGCAAGACAAATCCCTCCCATGGGGAGGGGACCAAAGATGGGACACAGGCCCTTGGGAGGGTGAAAGGAGATCCCGTGGACCCTCAGCGTTTCCCGTGGAAAACCCTGCACTAGTCCCTGCTGTGTAGCAGGTGCTCAGGACCTGTGAAGATTGCTATCACTCCAGCACGAGCCTGTATCCCCCCAGACCTTCCCAGAGGGACCTGGGCTTTTCAGGGCCTGTCCTGCACTTGGGCATTTCTGGAAGGGACTGTATTCGTTGAATAAAGGCTGGCTGCTGGCCTGAGACGACCACAGGTCATAGACCATCTGGCTCAGGGATCCCTGGATTCTGTAGCAGGTCCAGGGCCTTGCCTGCTTCATCACCTGGTTTATTCACATGCTCTGCCACCCTGCCCTCCTCCACCCCTGCTTCTCTGAACTTCACTTTCCTCATTTGAAAGCTGAGGATATGAGACTCCCTTTGGGGCTGCCGTGGCATCAGCACAGGGCCTGAGGCACAGTGCTCAACCAGCATCCATCATCATCTCAGCAGGTCGCAGTCCCTGCCCTTGAGGGAGGCTCGCTCAGACTGGCTGGCAGGGGAGATCTGAGGCAGGCAGAAGTCCGATGCTTAGTATGGCTGGTGTCCCTGGCTTCTGCAGGCACACAGAGGAGGGACCAGCTGGCCACGCTGGCTGTGAGGGCTTGACCCAAGAGCCCCACACTAACACACCCTCAGGCAGAGTCTCAGCAGGACTGTGGTGGGTGGGACCCTCAGCTGGGATGAGCCAGGCAGAGTCCAGAGCCCAGGGCATGATGGAAGAGGTGTGTGTGTGTTTAGGGGATGTGGGGGTTCAGGCCGAGCAAAGCAGAGTTCAGCAACTGTGTGACCTTGGGCTAGCTACTTAACCTCTCTGAGCCTGGATGGTGATACCTCATTGGAGATAACGAGATTCCTAAAGTGCAAATTCCAACCTGGCCAATCCACCCCTGAGAATCTCGTGCTTGTGTGCACCAGGGGACGTGGACTAGAATGCTCATGGCAGTCTTGTTGGGAATAGCACCAGATGGGAACACAAATTCTTGTCAACAGTGGAATGGATAAATAAATTGATACGTTGTAGGATATTCATGCAGTAATAAAAATGGACAAATTACAGATACACGCAATATGGATGTCTCACAAATACAGTGGTGTATGAAAACATAGTTACGGTGTGATTCCACGCATGCAAGTTCTGAAAGATAGACAAAACTCAACTATGTTGTTGAAGATGACATACATGCAGGTAGTAAAACTGTAAAAAGAACACTAAGAATGTGATTATTTAAAAAGTGGGAGGGTCGTGGCTGCCTGGAGGAGTGGGGAGAGGGGCATGATCGGGAGGACGCACAGACCGGGCTGGGGGCTTCTGTTCTGGATGCTGTTTGGTGGGTAGTGGCTCACCCTTACTTGCTTTCTAATTTATTTATTCATAAAACAGTGTGAACATGTTTTCTGCACTCCTCCGTACGTGATTATCTCAAAGTCTAAGAATAATTCAAGTGCCTGGTAATTGGATTGGAGCTGGATCAAGACCCGGTTTCCTTCACACTCTCCTCGTGCCCCCACCAGCTCTTGTTCTGTGCTTGGGGGGCAGAGAGCAGGAGCGAGAAGATACTGAGTGAGGCGTGGGTGCGGGCTGGCCAAGATCCCCCACATCCCCGTCCGCCACTGCCCCGGTTTCCGGACACACATGCCCCAGAAAGACGCTGCCCAGAGGTTTTTTAAACAGCTTTATTCAGGTTGGCTGGTAGTCACGGATTGGATCGTGTATACAGGGTTACCCACAGCCCCTGGGCCAAGCCCACGCCCCTCCCACATCCCCCACTCCATTGCTGAGGGGCGGCCAGAGGTTTGAGCCAGTTCTAAGGGGTGTTGGGCCCGATAGAAATATTTACAAATCACCAGGGGTGGGTGTCCCCCTGATCAAGGATTGTGAGGGGATTGGTATTAAGGGACACTTGGCTCCCAACAGCCCCAGGCCCTTGGGTGGGCTTGGCATGGGCCCCAGGAGGGGGCTGGGACCTTGGGAGCTGGCAGAGGGGGGGCTCCTGGGAGAGCCTCAAAGACCCTGGAAGGGGTCCTGCTGGTGCAAAACTCTGCCTGGGGCCATGCGGTCAGAGCACAAAGGTCCTCCTTCGGACCTGCCATGTGAAGGGGCAGATTCCTGGTGCCCCCGCCTCCCAGGAAGGTGGAACAGGGAGCTGTTGCTTCCGTGTAAGGAGGCTGAACATGAAGGACCCACCAGGAGGCAGCCGAGGTCTCCCTCTCCTCCCAGGGCCCCTGTGAGTGACCCTGGAGCCCCAGAGCAAGGTCTCCTGGGGACTCTGTTCCCCAGTTCCTCACCAGGGGAGAGGCCCTAGTTCAGCTCAGAAGATTCAAGTCCAAATTCGGGGAGGAGTCACTGTCCACACCCCCAGGTCCAAGTGGGGGATGGTAGGAAGGAGGAGAGTAAGGCTGGGAGGCCCCGGCTCGGGACAGGGTCGGGGACAAGCAAGCAAAGCGAAAACACTGGACTCCACTGAAGCTGGTGACAGAAAGGGGGCAGCCCGCCCCGGCATGGTGCCCCACCCCAGCGTTCGAGGCGGTCGTCCCCTTGGTGCCCGGGCCCACCTTCTCCCAGCCAGGTCACTGCAGGGTCTGAAAAGGAAGGGTTGGGCGGGGCTTACATGCTGGGCGAGGGGGTGGTGCGGAGGGCCGGCGGGCCGCAGGCGGCCTCGGGGATGGGGAGGCGGCTGGACCCAGGCAGTCCCGTCCCCAGCGGTCCAGCGGCCCCTCATGCACTCTGGACAGCCGTAGGGGCGCGGGCGGGCGGGTGGCGGGGCGGCCGTCAGTCTAGAGGCTGCAGGCCTCCGCGTCCACCGAGCGCTTCCGCAGCTCCTTGCCCGGCTTGGGGGGCGGCGGCGCGGGCGCGGCGGGCGGGGCCTCCGGCAGGTGCAGGACGGAGTTCTCCCCGGGCTGCACCCGCAGGTAGGCCTTGACCTTGTGGTGCCGGGCCTTGCCGTCACTGAAGTCGATAACACGGCACTCGTAGGTGCCTTCGTCCGTGGGCTTCACTCGCGACAGGCGCAGCTTGTGGGAGATGTTGCTGCCCACCACCTTGACCACCTGGGGACGACAGAGAGACCGTGACCTGGCCGCCCAGCGGCAGCTGGAAGACCGAGAGCCCTGGTCCCGAGAGCCCACTCCCAGGCTGGGGCCCCAGAGCTGCTCCCACCAGGACACACAGAGTTAAATAGCAAAAAAGTAGAAGCAACTTCATTGTCCATCAACAGAACGGATAAACAGGCAGTAGTCCGTTCATTCAGTGGAATACTGCACAGCAGATAAAAAGGTGCTAGAGCTGGGCATGTTCGAGCTGAGAGGCATGCAGGAAGTGAAAGATCTCATTGCAAAACTCCTACAGTGCGATGCCATTTCTGTAAATGGACACAGGAAAATACTCTATACGGTCGTCCCTCGGTATCCGCAGGGGACTGGTTCCAGGACCCCTTTGCGGACACCAAAATCCCCGGATGCTCAAGCCTTTAGTTGGCTCTCGTTATCCGCGGTTCCGCATCCGCGGATCTGAAGGGCTGCCTGTACTGGTTTTAGAGACGGGTGTGTGTGTAGAAGTTGAACATAGACGGGCGGAACACAGTGGCCTCCCAGCAGTGGTTCTCTCTGGGAAATCTCAGCTTAGTCGGAAATGTCTTGTTTCTCTAAAGAGAATAAAGGCTGATCACAAATAAATCAGGATGCTAATCACTGTCCACTCCAGTTGAGGGGAGCAAGAGTGTCGGTGATATTTGTCTTTGTATTTTGGCCTTCTGCTTGTTTATTTGATTGAGTTTTTGAAATTCTAAAATTGAAATTTAATTTATGTACAGTGAAGTGCATACAGCTTGATGAAATCTGACTCACGTGCATGCCTGTGTGACCGCCCCCAGAGCAAGGGTGGGCCGTGGATACCCCTCCAGAGCACAGCCTGTGGCCCTTCCTCATGGACTCAGGCCCGCGGCTATCCACTACTCTGACTCCCATCACCACTGATTAGTTTTGCCTGTTCTTGAACTCCTTTGTGTGCAGCTTCTGTCACACAACATAACACCAATGAGATTCCTCCGTGTTGTTGCCTGGCTCCATGTGCTCTTTTTCACTGCAGTGTAGTATTCCATCATACCGATATACCACCATTTGTTTATCCAGCCCCCTGTTGACAGACACTTGGGCAGTTGCCAAATTAAAACTCTCATGAGTAAACCTGCCCTGAACATAAAGCTACTATAGGGAATTGTTTTCAATCAAAAGAGAGAAGGCAGGTGGACAGTTACATAAGCCAGTTCACTGGGGAAGCTGGGTGAAAGGTACAGGGGAGTCTATGATCTATTTTTGCAACTTTCTGTGAATCTGCAATTCAAAATGAAAAGCTTAGAAAAGGGATGGGGGAGTTGAGCCTATGGAGAGGGGTTGGGGGGAGGGGGCTTCCGTCCTTCCCTGGCCCCCACTTACAGCCAGAAGGAGCCCTGCCCTGCCCCCTGCAGCCCTGCCCCGCCCCTGAAGCCCTGCCCCACCCGGACAGAACAGGGGAGGTCACTCTCAGGCACCACTGGGATCCCTTCCCAGTGACCTTACACCAGCCAGCATTACAAGCTTGCCAGGCCCAGGCTGGAGCTGAGTGGGCTTCAGACCTGAGGCCCCAGCCCTGAGTCCTACTGGTCCCTCTCCCCTGGGGGGCAGAGGTGGGGGTCGATAGGGATGGACAGCCAGCCTGCCTCTTCTTGTCAAGCCCCAAACCCTGGATGGGAAGTCCCTGCTAATCACCCTTGCAGTGAGGAGGCCAGGATGAGAAAGGGGACAGTCTCTGAGGGGTGCATTCACTCTGCAGCTGGGCCCTCACACACACACCCGTGACTTCTAACCATCCTTCAAATCTGCTCTGGCTTCTCTGGGCCCTTCCCATCTCCTCCCAGATGCCAAGCTCCTTGTGGCCTTTGCACATGCTGGTATCTCTGCCTGGGTGCTGTTCCCCACCCCTCTTCACCCGCTTGACTCCCCTTCATTCTCAAACATCACCTCCTCCCAGAACCTTCAATCACAACCCCCTGTCTATTTCCTTCATAGCAGTCGTCACAATTTAAGAACCGTTTAATTTGTTTGTCTGTTGACTTGATTTTTGTCTCCCTCTCTGGCTAAACTATAAGCTCCATGAGGGCAGGGATGATAGCTATTTTGTTCATCTTAGTGACCATCACAGGGCCTGGAACCCTGTAAATAATAATAAAAACACTTGTCGAATGAATGGCCTCACTCTAGTTCCTTCTTTCTCCAAATGAAGTAGTACCCAGATAGCATGCTTTCTAATTGTAGGTCACAGACATGACTATACCCACTTTACAGACGGTGAAACTAAGGCTCTGAAAGAAGTGACTTTCACATGGGCACTGAGTCAGTGAGTGGCAGAGCTGGGAACTGAACCCAGGCCTACTTCCATGTACTCTGACCCTCCAAATGGCGTGACAGGCCCCACAGAGGGTCGCTCAGAGCTGGCAGGGGCACAGGGGGCTTCCCAGGCTCCAGAAGGGAAGAGGGTGGGTGGGCAGCAGCCGGGAGCCTGGCCTATCCTCCCTTATTCTGAGCCTTCCTGGCTGGTCATCATCCCCCCTGAGGCAGGGAAATGTGGGCTTATGGCCAGGCAGGAGGTGAGACACAGGCAGAACTTCCCAACAGCAAGTGGTGGGAACTCTTCCGGCTGCCCCTGTCGGTGTGGGGCATCCCCTCCCCAGTGCGGCCGGCCCAGCTGGAGGCCATCAGCCCTGCTGACGCCATCACCTCTGACCAAGGGCACTGAGAGGTCCTGTGGCCCTGCCATGCTCTCCGGGCGAGTTAGGAGATGCTGTTGCAAATGCGCAGCGGGGAGCGAATTACCTCAACATCTGTTTCCCTCACGGATATTAATTATCCTTCATTTGTCAACCCTACAAGGCGCTAATGGAGTAATAATGCGAAGCGCTGGGAGCAGCGGCTCCTAGGGAGGGAGCGACAGCGAGGCCCACCCTCTGCCCACCTCTCCCACCTCCAGCCCTGACGCCAAGGCCTGGACCGCTCTCCCCAGGAGCTCTCAGCTCCTCCCCCCACCACCCCCCTGCCAGCAAGCACGCGTGGCCTTCAGCAGTAGCGCTCCTCCCCTCTTGGGGAGGAGGAGGGGGCAGGGCGCACTGCAGGGGCACTGGGAGCACCCTGGCCTCGGTTTTCTTGGGCTCGATTCATCCATTCACTGGACAAACATTTAGCAAGTGCCCACCTTGGGCCCCAGGGGTACAGCCATGAACCAGCCAGACCCCAGCCAGGCCCTCACGGGCTCCAGGTCTAAGGGGGAACCCAGACCTCACGCCCATAGTCAAGCACCTCAGGGAGCTGATCCAGCAGGATGAAGGGAGAGGACACACAGCAGACTCTGCTCCCCCCACCCCAGGGGTCCTGCCTTTAAGCACCATCTGGAGAAGGTGAATAATAAAAACAGTGACAACAGTAATAGTAGTGCTGGCCGCTAGAGTTCATGGAGCGCTTGGTCACTGAGATGACGCGCTAAAGCTTCGTACATCTTACATAAACCCCACCATAACCCCGTGACGTAGGCCCTGCTAGGATACCCATTGTATGGTCAGGAAACTGAGGCTCAGAGAGGTCAAGTGATTTGCCCAAGCCCCCCCAGCTGGTGACAGAGACCAGGTCTTAACCACATCTCTGGGGAGCCTCCCATGACCAGCAGACCACAGGTCTGTCTTTCCAGCCCCTCCCACCTCATTCCCCAGGTCCTTAGCACTCCTGGTCTTGGAGGCTCCCGGCCCCTCCTCAGTGGCATGTCCTGTGGAGGCGCCCATCACCCTGCCCCAGCTTCTTGGGGGTGCCGGGAGCAGCCTCTTGGATTTCATCATTCACAAATTTCGCAGAAAATCCTGTGGCCTGGCTCTCCAGCGTGACCGGAGAGGCCGCAAGGAGAGAGACCCCCACGTGGCGGCCTGGCTGTAAATCATAATCACCTGGGCGCATGCATCGACAGGCCTTAGCGGTGCAATTAAGCACCTAATTATGCTGAAAGAGACAAGGCCAGGCCACGCCGGGAGCGCTCAGCCTCCTCCATGTGCCCTGCCCAGGCCTTTCTGGGCAGGGCAGGGGCCCCTGGGCCAGCGGTGGGTTGGGGTCTTTCTCCCCAGCCAGCGGTGCCAGGAGGAATGGGTGGTGCCAATTTGCATCTCTGGTGCCAGGCCTTTCCCACATGGGGCCTCACAGCTGAGACCTAAGAGTGACATGGTGGCCCCAGGAAGGTGCTAGGGTGGGGATCGGGGTCAGATGGGCCTGCCCCAGGCACGGCTCTGCTTTGAGCTCCGCCGCTTCTGTGCCTCCATCAGCAACGCCCAGCCACTTCACAGCCCCTCGGCATGTTCAAATCCCAGCCCAGGGTCTCCTCAAATCTCAGCCCTGGAAGGCCTCACCCACTGCAGCCAGACCCTCTGCAGTCACAGCGCCATGCTCCTCCAGCGCTCCAGCACAACCCACCCTCGAAGGCCACTGATCTTCCCTCTCAACATCACTGCACCTCCCCTTCTCTCCAGACCCCAGATGCCCCTGCACCGGCCAGGGCAAAGTGCCAGCTTCTCTCCTCTGGGTCATCACCTCAACCTCCTCCCACGTCCACCCAAAGCCACGCTGGCCCCTTCCAATCTGTTCTCCCATGACGGACAGATACATCTTTTCAAAATGCCTCCAACTTAGAACCCTTCCTTCGGTGGCTCCCTGCAGTGGCTGCCGGGATGAGGGGTGGCTTCAGGGTCTCATCCCTGCCTGCCCCTTAGCTACAGCAGCCTCCAGCAGTTTCTCCAGCACACACACCAGCAAACCTCCCCCTGCTCCTAGCCAACTCCTCTGCCCTTCAGTGTTCACTTCAAATAGCACCTCCTCCAGGAAGTCCTCCAGACCTCCTAGACTAGCTCAGGTCCCTTGTTCCAGGCTCAGGTCCCTGGGCGGCTCTCCTCATTTTGATGGTCACAGTTGTCATTTTACTTTTTTTTTTTTAAGATTTTTCTTTATTTTTCCTTTTTCTCCCAAAGCCCCCCTGGTACATAGTTGTATATTTTTAGTTGTGGGCCCTTCTAGTTGTGGCATGTGGGATGCCGCCTCAACATGGCTTGATGAGTGGTGCCATGTCCACGCCCCGGATTCGAACTGGGGAAACCCTGGGCCGCCGAAGCAGAGCGTGGGAACCTAATCACTTGGCCACGGGACCGGCCCTGTCATTTTACTTTTTATCATATATGATGGTTGGGTTCAGATCCATCTCCCATACTGACTGGGAGGACCTTGAGGACAGGAAGGGGGGGGGGGTGACGATGGCCTTCACAGAGGCATCTTCACGGCCCCAGACCACAAACTGGCCACTCTGTGGATATTTCAAAGGATTCCTAAGATGGATGGAGTGATTTTGACTCCACACGAGTCTCGCCTCCCTGGCACACTTCAGAACTTAACGTCCTATGGATACTGTGGATCACTGCAGGAATTTCGAGAAAAGATAGAAACGTCTATGGCAGAAAATAAAATCATAGTAACCCGTGCCCGCCACCCGGCCTGTTACTCCTGTGTGAAGGATGCAGACCTTGTGTGCTGCTCCGGTGGCCCCAGCCTTACCACGCCCCCATCAGCAACCGTGCGCTATCCACACATGTGCTCCACGTGTCTGGAGCAGCCAGGCGGGTGGTCAGGGGCTTGGCCTGCAGGGCCACTTGGCCGATTTGACAAATGCAGCTGCCTTGTAACCATTCATAGGGACTCGGGACGGGGGCTACAACGTGCTTCCTGGGGCTTCTTGGGCTGTGCCTGGCTTTTAGGGCTGGGCTGGCGAGGAGGCGGGGGTTGTGATGAGTGAGCCAGAGCAGGGGGCCCCATGTACATGGGGACCCAGGCTGCCCACGGCTGTTTCGGACAGAAGCAGCTTACATGAACTGAGTCTACAGCACAGACAACTTCTGCTCGACCAAAGGAGGGACTTACGGTAATGAAGGCAGGAGAGGCCCCTGGGAAAGAAGGCCTGTGTGGAGCATTTCACCTTGTCTTAAAATTAGGAAGCTGGGGACCATCTCTACTTGCAAAACTGGTTAAGGGGAAATTAACCTAAGAACTTCAGTTAGATCAAAAGAAAAACATCCAGAACTTGAAAATGGCCAATAAACAGAAGAATTCTGAGCGACAGGAAGGAGGTCCTCACGGTGGAATCCTCAGCATATGCAAGCTACTGAGGGAGACGTCTCAGGCCAGGGGTCCTTCCCCAGGCCCCGAGTTAGATGAGATAATTCACGTAAAGTACTCATCCTGGCTCCCGACATGGGGCAGGTGCTCAACAAACGTGAGCTGCTATATTATTATGATTTTCTCACAGACGCCTGTGCCCCCACATAAACGATCTCCCCACAAGATCCTGAGCTCTTTCTTTCCCTCGCCCGGTTCCTGCAGACAAGCGGGGCCTTCTTTCAAGGCTCCGGGCCCCCACATGCTTTGCAAATTCAGGTTGTTTCCACGCTAGTAACCACTGTCATTCACACAGCCGAATCCATAGGACTTTACAGTTTCCAAAGCGTTTTTGTATGAGCCTCAGTGAGTGGGGAAGGGAGGCGCAGGGCGGTGGCAGAGCTGGAGCGAGGACTCAGCTCCCGGGACGCTCAGCGCCGGCCCCACTGTGTCCTCACGGTCCCAAGCTGGCGCTCCGCACGGCGACTCTGCACCTTCCCAGGGTTACCATGGCGGCCCCAGCAGGTCACAGAGCCCTCCCCACACCGGCTCCTGGAAGTTGACGGTCCTTCCTCCCCAGAACCTGAGACCCATGGGCGCGGAGGCTGCCCAGCAGGTGGTCGGTGCCATTCGGCTCCCACAGGGTTTTCCAGAAACCAAATTAGGTCCCAACGGTTAAAAATCAGGACATACTCCATCCAAATCAGCACATTTTTAGGAGACATGGGACTACTGGGCTGGACTTCCCTCCTGGCTCAGCTGGCTCTCCCGGCCCCGTGGTCCCCACGAGCCCCTCCACACCTTCATGTCACCCGTCCACGTCCACGTCCAGGCACGGATGCACATCGCATTGGTGTGTCCGTGTATCACAACTGTCTGGATTTACGCCCCTGTTGGCCTGGGTGGGTGTTTGTGTGTGACAGTCACTCGGTAATTTTTAATTGGGCACCTGCCACGTGCCAGGCTCTGTGCTGGGCTCTGGAAATGGAGCAATCAGGCAGGCACAGTCTGCCCCACTGTCTCCCCGGGAGACAGACAGGAGACTGTCTCACACACATAGATAATTGCAGACGGAAAGGCAGCCAGCAGGGAAAGTCAGGGGGGCCGACTGAGTCGCAGGGTCAAGGCAGGCTTCCTGAGCTGAGCCCTAAAGGAAGAGAGAGGAACAGTTTTCTGGGCAGAGGGACTGACCTGTGCAAAGGCCTGGAGGTGGGAAGCAATGGGAAGGCGGAGAGGCAGCCAGCCTGGGAGGGGATGGGGAGCCCCAAGCAAGATGAGCTGAGGCTCAAGGGAGAGCAGAGTGAGTCCAACAGAGCTGTGGAGGCCACTGAGCCAATTCTGAGCCTCCTCCTCGACGGCAGAACCCAGGGGTGCCTCTGCTTATAGCTGCCGCCAACCCCGAGTCTGTGTATTCAAGCACAGTCATGCGTGTGACGCCATCTGCATGGGGAGCCTGTCTGTGGGCTTCCCAGCCAGACCGGGCAGCCCAGCTGGTGCAGGACATGCAGGGGCTGGGAGTGGGGCATCGGTTGCACCATCACGGGAGTGCCTTTATTTTATTTAACTAATTAGCATCTTCGCATTCCCCTCACGTGGGGCCCAGCAGCCTCGAATTCTAATCCTCTTAGTCAATTAGATTATTCTCTCCTTTGCCAGAGACGCTCCTTAAACCCCAAACACCATCCTAGCAGAGAAAGGTCCCGTGAACGGGGCGCGTTAATATATGCGCAGGTCCCTCCCTGCCCGGGCCACCTGGTGGCTGTTTGGGCAAGAAACGGGGCATTACCTATGGATGTGCCCTTGGCAGAGGGTGAGGGTGAGGGGTCAGGGTGTGGAGAAAGTGAACCAGCAGCTGCCCTAAACTGGAAATGGCTTGAACTTCCAGACCCCCACCTCGGAGAGGCCCTGGGGCATTTGGCACAAATGCCCTTCTTCTCTAATCTGCCCGCCTCTGGCCTGAGTGGCTGCAGGACCTCCTCCCCAGCCTCCCTGCCTCCGCTCTGCCACCCCTGCTGTCCCGCATGGCACTCCATGCCTCCCGGTGCCCACTCTTTCCGCTGTGACTTCTGCTTTGGGGTGCGGCTCCTCTGTGCATCCGTGTCTCACTGGCCTTGGGGTCCTGAGCTCCCCCGCAAGTCCTTGAAAAGTCATGGGAGACACAGCAGGAAAGAGTGAACTTGGAGGTCTCTCCCCCCACACACGCATTCACACCCCTGCGGGCACCCGCATTTTCTGAGTGTGTTGCTGGTGAACTTCCAGCCTCCCGCCAGGCTGACCTCGAGCCCCATGCACAAACCGAGCCGGGTCCCATGGCCACACGTGTGCCCAAGCTGGTCCCCTCTACTCAGTCCCTCTCGCCTCCTTTCTCAATCCTGCCTGCCTCTTCTAGGCCCCGCTTTGGGTGCCCCTCCTCCACAAAAATTGTCATTCCCAGAGCCCCCAGGGTCCCCCACCTCATTGGGCTCCTGCAGAGCCTGGAGACGAAGAGCTCATGGCAGCTCAGCCAGGCCATGACCTCCACCAAGTCTTTGACCCTGCTGAGCCTCAGTAGCCCCACCTGTAAAATGGGCGAACGGCTGCCCTTCCCCATAGAGCTGCAGCAAGGATAACACTGGCAACGCATCAGGGGGCCGGCCAGGCCTGAGATCCTCTGGCTGCAGCTCCCCAACCCTGCCTCACTCCCGGGAGCCGGGGGACCCCTGTGACTGTGAGAAGCGGCAGCCGTCACGATGGGCCGAGAACCGCCGGCTCAGTTTCATTAGACCCTGCTGGTTCTCCAAATAAAAAATGCTGCTGAGACAGACACGAAGCATCAGGGACGCACACAGCCTTGGCCCCGACAGGAGAGAATGCGTCTTTTCTCCCCCTGTCATTTTTTGTGCCTGTCATTCAATGAACTTGAAAAATCTCTGGCTTTTAAAACCCAGAGCAGGACCATTTTTCCCCTCTTTCTGTCTCCTCCTCCATCTTCTTGCCCAAGCTCCCTGCTGAAGGAGACCAAAAAAAAATTCTTTTAAATTACAGCTGTGTCCTCCATTAGAGCCCTTGCGAGAAGTCATTATCAAAACTCACGCTTATTTTGGTTGCGTCCTTCCCGGCGTCTTCCTGCTGCGATGCTTTTAGCTGTTGGGAGCAGGAGGGGCAGAGAGAGCAGAGAGGGGCGTTAGCGCCGCAGGGCGGGCGTGCGGACAACAGCGAAGATTCTAGCCAGGGCAGGTGACACGCTGGGGGCCACGGGACCTGGAGTGGGGGCCCCTCAGCGCTGTGTCCACTCGGGGGATGGGGAGATCCCAAGCAAAGGAAGATACAGGAGGGGCCTGGACACTGGGCATGTGCTGCGCGTGTAGCTATGCGGGCATCTGGGGATATATGGGCGGGGATGTGTGAACGGGAAAATGTGAGTCTGCTTGGTGTGTCTGTAGGAGTGTCTGTCTGTAGGAGCGTCTGTCTCTCTCTGGGAATGTGTTTGTATTTTCAGGTGTGTCACACACGTGAGCGTGTGTAGCAGATGCTGGTGCAACCCTGCCCACGCGCCATGCCCTGCAAGCTGACCACGGGGCTTCCAACTGCAAATAGCTACAACTCTTCGACTAAGGGCTTTCTCCCCCAGCTGGAGTCCTCCGACCTGGGGGGCAGGCTGGAAGGGCTGGGGGGTGACTCCCCTAGGAGCCAGCCACAGTTTACCACGTATTTGTGAACACGTTAGGGGCTATTTCATGAACATGCGAGAATGCGTGAGCACGCCCGTGTGTGCATACGAAGATGTGTAGATACGTATTCATGTACGCATGGGTGGGCAGACAGGGATCAGAGTTTGCATGCTATCTGTGTATGCACAAGTGTAAGAATGAAAGTGTCTTAGTTTGGGTTCCCCCAGGAGCGGACCTTGAGACAAAGATTCGAGCGCAAGCAGTCTATCTGGGAGGTGGTTCCGGGAAACATCGGTGGAGGAGTGGGTGAGTAAGACAAAAAAGGGAAGGAAGTCAATATGGGGTGTTATTAAGCCAGTTACCATTGTGGGCAGCTGGACCTTACTCCCTCGGGGCACCTCGGGAGCATGCAGAACAGGCGTCAGTCATGCCAACTGAGGGCGAGGGAGCTGGGGCCTCACCCTCCAACGCCCCTCAGGCCCTGGTGGAGCACCCCTCCAGCCTGCCTGGCCGGCCAGTGGGCTCTGTTGTCTGGGGAAAACCCTCAGGCAGAGTCGCAGGGTCTGGCAGTCGGCAGCCGGGCTGGTGGCTGGGACGATGCACACCCCAGCGTGCAGGCGGCACCAACACCATCTGCCCCAGCGCTGTGTGCCTCTGAGCCTGTGTGTGTGTAGAGGCGAATGCGTGTGCAGTGTCTGGATGCAGGAGTGTGCCTGCACGCACGTGGAAGGGTATGCACGCGTGCGTGCTCGTGACTGAAGTCGGCAGCTTGGAGAAGTGATGGAAGGGGAGTCCACCTGGCCCCTAACCTGGAGTCAGCTTCTGTCCCTCTGGCCTCAGTTTCCCCACCCACACACTGAAGGGAGGGACTCTGTGCACTTTCAAGGGCCCTTCTTGCTGCACCCACCCCAAGTGCTCAGCCTACCTCTGCCTCCTGCTCCAAGGCAATGAGGGGCAGAGACACACCCCTACCCTGGGGGCCAAGATTCTCCCAGCCCAGCTGGGTGGGGGGGTGGGGGGGGGTGTCCCAGGGGCAGTACCTGGTTCGAAGCCCATGCCTGCTTGTCGGTCCAGTCTCTGTGGCTCCGCACATACCACCACTGGATCTCCAGCGAGTAGGAGGGGGAGCCGCTGCCTCGGAAGGAGCAGGCCATTTCCACGTCCTCGCCCGTCCGCGCCGTCATGTCATGGGGTGTCTCTGTGAACAGGGCTGTGCGAAGAAACGGGGGAGGAGTGGCCGGGGCTCGGGAAACCGCAGGGCCAGCAGGCACATGGCTTAGGGGGGAGAGGTGGTGAGTGGGAACAGCCCGGCCTGCAGGTGGGAACGGCCTGGTTCCAGGCGGGGCACCTGGAGAGGCTGGGGAAGCTGGCAGAGGGGCACACAGCAGCAGCTGGCACAACGTGGGGGGGAAGGAGAAAGTCTAGGGCCCTGAGTCCCCACCCCAGCCGGCCTCTGTCCCGGAGCCCGGGGGCAGTGTGGGAGACCCACGCAGGGGAGTGATGGATCCGAGGAGAGCTGGGTTGCAAGGTGTGAGCAGGGAGCCCAGGAGGCCAGGGAGGAAGCTGCTGTTTGCAATTCTTCCAGAGTTTTCCGGCTGCCCCCAGCTAGTTTCCCTCCTGGGTTATTCCCAACCCCCAGTGCACAGCAGTTAGCAGACTTTGTAAAACCAAATCAGCCTTGGCCACCTCCTGCTCAGAGCCCTCCCTGGCTCCCCACTGCCCCTAGGAGAAGGCCCCCCAGGTTGGGGGTCAGGCCCGCCCGCCCGCCTCCCCCGGTCTCTTCTCTGTCCTGTGAACACGCCTCGCTTTCCCACCTCACTTTCGCCCTCGCTGTTCCCAAGGCCCAGGATGTTCTCCCCTTGGCCCCTCTTTGCTCAGCAAGTCACTCAAAGCTCAGCGCAACCTTGGCCCCCTCACAGAGGCCTTCCTTGACCACCCTGGATAGGTTCCCCCCACCCCACACCCCCGCCCACCCAGGTCACGGCCACGGTCGCAGATCTGTTCACCGCATGCACTGCCTGTCGCAGACAGGGACCTGGAGCTCCCGGGGGCTACATGTTTCCTGGCACTTAGTAGGTGCCCTGAATGGCTGGAACATTCTCCATCCTCTCAGGGCCCCCAGGGTGTGGTGGGAGCCACACATGTCTCCTGTCCCCACAGGGCCCAGCCCCCCAACCAAATCCCAGGGCAGGCAGTTCCCCTGACCCCGCAAGAGCCCTCGCCACCCGCCACCCCCACCATGCCGCCCAGGAAATGAGAAAACGAACCCCTACTCAACACAGCCCAGCGCCGCCCCCCCCACCATATGTTCCGTCTCTCACGTCCAAACAAATATTGTCCTGAGATGTAATTAGAATTCTTTCCTCTTCTCCAGAGAGATTATCTCGCCCTGGAAAGATGGCTGGCAACGTGCAGGTCGCCCAGGGAATACTGTGCCTGTCAGTCCCCCACCCTATGCCATGCCCGTTGCTGCAGCTCGCCAGGCGCCCTCCGCCCGCGGGGCAGGCACGCCGGGTCCCTCCTGGCCCCTCCTGGCCCCGCTCAGCTCAGGCAGGAGGAAGAGGGAGCCCTGGGCTGGGAGGGGGCTTCCTGCTCCGGGGTCGCCTGCTCCTCCCCTTCCCCATGACACTGCGGGCTTCGGGAGGGTAGGGGTTGACAAACGCCTCCATCCAGAAGCTTCTGCTTTCTCTGCTCTACACACAGGGTTTCCATGTGAGCTTGTCCCCAGCAACCGGCTTCTGGGCTAAGAGAAAGTTTGCAACATCCCTGACCCCCAAGGTCAAAGGTTCGGACAAAGCCTGTTTAATAAGAAGGAATGTTGTTTGGGGGCAGCCCCCGTGGCCTAGTGGTTAAGTTCGGTGTGCTTTGCTTCGGCGGCCTGGGGTTCAGTTCCCGGGCACGGACCTACACCGCTCTGTTAGCAGCCATGCAGTGCTGGTGGCCCACATACTAAAAAATAGAGTAAGATTGGTGCAGATGTTAGCTCAGGGCGAATCTTCCTCAGGAAAAAAAAACAAAAAGAATGAATGTTGTTTGAACTACTGAACGCATGCCAGGTGTGGTGAGTGGTGTCATCTGAAAGCTGGGACTGTCCTTAGTCTCACTGGGCAGCGGATGAAACTCGGATCCTGGAGGGAAGATCCTTGCCCACCCCACCTTTGCTTTCCTGGTCCCCGGGCCTAAAACCGCAGAGCCGGCACTGCCTCTGTCCCTCTTTCTCACGCCGCCATTCGGTCTCCAGGTGACGCTGGGGTCTCTGCCTCCAAAACATCTCCAGAATCCAGCCCCTTTTCCCCACCTCCACAGCCCCCAGGCTGGACCAGCCACCGTTACCTCCCACCTCTAACAGTGGGGCAGGTCCTCACTGGCCTCCCTGTTGCCACCGTCCTTCCTCCCTGACAATCTATTTTGACACGGCAGCCAGAGGTATTTTGGCAAAACATAGATCAGTCCCTGTCCCTTCTTTCCTCAGAACCCTCCCACGGTGTCCTCTCACCAAGAGTAAAAGCCAGAGTCCTTACAGTGGCAGACAAGGCCCTCCACGTTTGGGCCAGTCCCACTGGGGTCAGCTTCTGCTTTTCTCCTCACTCATTCTATTCCCACCACAATGGCCTCCTTGCTGTTCCTGAACATTCCAGCTGAGATCTGACCTCAGGACCTTTGCACTTGCTATTCTCTCTGCCTGGGACACTCTTCCCCCCATTCCAGCATGGCTCCCTCCCTGCCCAGCTTCAGGAGTCTGCTCAAATGTCACCTCCTCAGTGAGGCCTACCCTGACCTCCTCATTTAAAATGGCACCTCCCGCCCCAACCCAGTGCTTCAAAACACTCTTCTCTTCCAAGACACTGTCAGTGCTGTCTGACGGGACTTTCTGCAACGAGGAAAATGTTCTATATCTGAGCTAATACAGTAGCCACCAGCCTCCTACGTCCATTGAGCACTTGAAATGTGACTAGTGTGAATGAGGAACTGGATTTTAAATTTTACTTCATTTTAACTCATTTAACTTCACATAGAACTTGTAGGTAACGTCTGCTGTGCTGGGCAGCACAGCTCACACGCATTCATCGACGTTCGTCGTCTGCTCTCCCTTCCGGGAGGCAGGCGCTGGGTCTGTCTTGTCCAGCAACCTAGCCCCACCTCCTAGAGCAGGGCCTGGCAACAGCGGGCTCAATAAATACTCCTTCAACGAACGAATGAATGAGCAGACGTGGCTGGGCAGTGGTGCAGCAGGGTCCAGAGCCAGGAGGGCCCCACCCTGAGAGTCCGGGCCAGGCCCAGCCCTCCTCACCCACCCTGATGCCTACCTGCTGACTCGAGCAGGACTGAAGGGGCGATGGAGGGTCCAAGCCACCAGGAGGGGCTGGCGGTGATCAGAGTGGGCCGTGGGCCCCTCGCCCTGGGACAGCGAGTTCTGCCTTGATCCCTTTGCAAACAGGGGAAGGAGGAGAGTGGCAAGACCCCTTGTTGGATCCAAGGTGACCAGCAGCATGACCCTGGCTAGCCAAGAGACAGTGGGAGGGACGTAGCTGTGACCGCCTCCAGGTGCCATTGCCTGAGCCCCGGGAACCAGAAAGTACGCACCTTCTCCCTCTGGCAAATGGGGAGAAGGGTCCAGAGCTACTGAAGGCTTTGTCACCCCAGGAGCACAGACTGGGAGGGAGCCAGCCCTGGCAGCTGGGCCTGTGTGACATCTGGCCGGCAGGAGGATGGAAAATGGTCTGCGTGGGTCTCATGGGCCGCCCTTGGGTGGGGGCTCCATCAGGGTGACCTGGGGAGGGGCCAGGCCTCCCTCACTCAGCATCCCCCTGCCCACAGGGCCCCCCAAACTGACTGAAAACCCTGAGCCTGGCCCACCAGCTCTTCTTACGGATGCAGAAAGGAAGGCTCAGAGAGGGCAGTGTCAGGCCTGGGGCTACTCAGCAGCCAGGGGTCAGCAAGGTCAGGCCCTGGGCTCCAATCCTTGCCCGGGCCCTCTCATCCACAAACAGCCATCGGGGAGGACCCCACCACAGAGCCAGCTGTGCCCCCAAATCCCAGTAATGGTCATCTAGAGGGCGCTGTCCAACAGGAAGAGACGGCGAGCCACACAGGTGAGGCACATATGGAATTTTCTAGTAGCCACATTAAAAAAAGTGAAACAAAAAACATTTTTAAACAGGAGAAATTAATTTTAATAGTGTATTTTATTTAAACCAAGATATCAAAAAATTATTATTTCAACATGTAATAAAAATTATTAATGGGATATTTTACATCCTTTTTCGTGCTAAGTCTTGGAAATCCACATGTATTTTACACGCTTACAGCACATCCCCGTTAAGACGAGTCAATTCTCAGTGCTCAGCTGTCACGTATGCGGGACGTCTTAGCAGGCGACCCTGGGCCGGCCTCAGTTCCCCTCCCCCTCGCATGTCCCCATTGCTCAGAGGAGGCAGCCGAGGCCCAGTGTGGGGCAATAACCCTTCCAAGGCCACACAGCAGAGCCAGGAATTGAACACACACCTGTCTTACTCCCAACCCCATGTTCTTCTCCCAGTATTCAAATTCTTTTTGGCTGTAGGGCTCTTTCTTAAAAAGGAACAGTCCACGATGGCCAACCTTGCAGGGTCCCATGGGGCAAGGTGGGGAGTCTCTTTTATTCCAAGTGCAAAGGCCTGGGCACTGAGGAGACGTTTCACCCAGCCTGAGGCAATCCGGGGAGGCTTCCCAGAGGAGGTGTGGCCACCCCAGCCCCTAGTTGCGGGCAGGTGGTCCTGAGCCAGGAGTGGGAAGGGGCTTCGGGTGGGAGGAGGGATGGAAATCTGGCTCCGAGAACCTGTGGAATTCATGAGCCCACGAACTCCTGGGGGCAGCCACCAGCTCTCCTTCCCTAAGTGGACTCTGGTCCCTGGGTCTCTCTGATCGCCTCCGTCCCTGCCAGGGGCTGCCTAGGTTGGGTGGAGTGGGGGAGGCCCCTGCAGAATCCCATCGGCTCCAACCTCAGTGGTGAAGGGGGCAGAGTGTCTACAGGACAAATGGGGAAATCGAGGCTCTGGATGTTTGATGGCATATCTGAGTCTCCCTACTCACGGGCAGCCACAGCAAAAGGCTGTCCCAGGCCCCATCCCAAGGAGCTCCCTTGAGGGAGAAGCCATGTACGCAGGTTAGCACCGGGCACGCAGGGCTGGGAGCCTGGAATGGGAGACTGTTTCTGCCAACAGATTTGCT